ATTGGGGCTCCCTTATGTGTTACTACCTCTTTCTCTCTTGCTTTAGGATTGTTTGTCTTTGATATTTGACATTTTAATGATGATGTGTCTTGGAGTGGGCCTCTTTGGGTTCATCTTGAGTGGGACCCTCTGTGCTTCCTGGACTTGTGTCACTTTTTCTCTCCTCCAATTATGGAAGTTTTCCATCATTACTTTTTCAAACAGGTTCTCTCCCTTCCTCATCCTCGTCTCCTTCTGGTATCCCTATTATACGGATATTATTACGTTTCAGGTTGTCCTGCATTTCCCTAAATGCCTCTTCATTCTTTCTGAGTCTTTTCTCATTTTCTTGCTCTTTCTGGGAGCTTTTTTCTACCTTGTCCTCCAGCTCGCTGATTCGGTCCTCAGCTTCATCTAGCCTGGTTTTGGTTCCTCCTACTGTGTTCTTCAATTCAGAAACCGTATTCTTCATTTCCCATTGTCTCTTCTTAACAGTTTCTATGTCCTTTTTCATGCTGATATAGTTTGCAGTAAGTTCCTCATAGTTTCCCTGTAGTTTTTGGTAATTCTCTCTGAGCTCACTGAGCTCATTGAGCTTCCTTAGAACTGTTGTTTGGAACTCAATATGTGATAGTTTACTTGCCTCTATTTCATTTAGTTCTCTTTCTGGGGATTCCTCCTTTCCCTTTGAGTGGGGCGTATTTCTTTGTCTTCCCATTATTTGTGAGACTCTTCTCTTTTGCTTCTTCTCCTTAAGTTGATCTGTCTTGATTTCCTAACTTAGTGGTGTGAACTTCTATGGTTGGAGACCGCTGTTTTTACTTTCCGGATCTGCCCCTAATGATCTCAAGATGTTGTCCCTGTCTGACCTTAGGCAGTCTGTTTGAGACTTCCAGGAATCTACTGTCTGTGGCTGTCTCCTTCAGCTGTTAATCTATTCACTCTGCACTCAGCAGGGTGCCTTAGACAGCTCAGGGCAGGGCAGAGTCCCTAGTAGGGGCAGCCTTGTTGGGTCCTCTCACACTGCTGCATATGGGAGAGGAGTCCGCACTGGGATCCCGCCGGCTACTCTCTCCATTCTGTCCCCAAAGCCTCCATCCCCAGTCTCTCCTCAAGTGTTGCCAGCCCTCTCTATGCCCTCTTTAGCCAGGGATCTACTGTCTGGGACTGCCACTCTGCATTCAGCAGGCAGCTTAGACAGCACAGGGTGAGGTGGAATTTCACCTGGGCGTGGGGCTATTGGGTCCTTTGATGCTGGTGCCGCTCAGGGGGTGTGGCCTGTGCCTGAGCAAGATGGCTGCTGCTGCCATATGGGGGATGAGTCAGCACCGAGATCCCACCAGCTACTCTCTCAGTTCTCTCCCCAAAGCCTCCTTCCCCAGTCTCTCCTCAGGAGTCTCTAGCCCACTCTGCCCCCGCCTTTGCCGGAGACCAGGGTAAGTGGCTGCAAATGAAAATTTGTGTTGGCCCTTTAAACAGTTCTTTGCATCTTCAGTCACCTGTCTCTGGCAGAGAGCAACCCTGCTGCTTTTCACAGCTGGCTGTTTTCTGTGTACATTTTGGGTTCTGGTGTTGTGGGCTAGAGATCCCCACTTTTGGTTTAGACCCCACTCTTTTCAGGGGGATCCAACCGGCCGTTTCAATATCCTTCTGGTGCTGCCACTCATGGGCTCCCCACCCACCTTCTCAGGTCTGTACTGCACTCCCTACCAATTAGATTGTGCTAAAGCCAATTCTTCTGTCTCTGAGGTTACAAGGCTCCTCTCTCGCTCTTGTTCAGTTGTTTGTTCCAGGTGATTTCCCCACAATTTAGTTGTAACTCCAGGTTTGTCCTGGGAGGAGGTCAGTGTGATTTCCACTCACTCTACCGCCATCTTGATTCTCCTCCTCATTGGTTGATTTTTGTATGTGCCCTGACGCGGGATCAGTCCTGCAGCCTTGGCGTATTGGGGCAATGCTCTTACCAACTAAGCTACCCAGCCAGGGCCTAAGTTTTGTTTTTAAAGGAGCTAGATCCAGCAGTGAAAACCCACCTTCTCAATCTTTACTAAATGCCCTAGCCTACTTAAATGAGCCTCCTTGGGTTTAAACAGAAAAAAAAAAAATGCTGTGATTGAGGATGAGGAGACATCTGGATCAATTTTTAAGTGTGAGTAGAGTCAAAAAAGACAGATGTCCCCATGCTCATTCATTCTACAGTGGCAGGCAGGATCAATCCGACATGTAGATTGAATGGAGCTGTATCTCTTAGAATAAATGACACCAGGCCAGTAACCATTCCCCAAAAATCTCTCCCTTCTCATCCCTCCTGAGGCCCAAAATGTTGGCAGTAGTGCCCTGGGCATCTTGACCTGTAATGTGCATTGATTTGATCAACACTCAAGGAGAAAAAACTTCCATCTGGAGTGGCCTGGGAGGATTACATGGTGGGTGAACATGAATTTTCCAGAGGCCTATAGGCAAAGGAAATTCTAAGAGAAGAGAAGAGTGCAAATGTCCCGCAACGAGATGGACTAAACAGTGAGACCAGGTCGTGAAAGCCTTTGATACCAGATGATCAAGTAGGGGCTGAATATGCTGGACCAACTGGAGATCAGAACTGTGTGTAAGGCAGACAGATATGGGAAAATGCAGAGTGGAATAAATAAATGGACAGGAATTAGAGGTAGGAAGGGTAATTGAGTGGTGACCATAAAAATTTACCAAAAAGACAGAAGGACAGGAGTGAGAGAGAAAGAGAACACCCACACTAGGGTCCTGCTGAGTAATAGGAAGAAAGAGACACTTGTGGTGATGTAGTATGATAAGAAATAATGGAAGGTGGACTTAAACATGCCAAGTTGGGGTGCTTGCAGGACATCCCAGGGACGATGGACCATCCGACTATAAGATGGAAATATGGACCCAGATCCTAGAAGAGCTGGTGATAAGGAGGGGGCAACTGGAGCAGGTGGGCAGAAGCCAATGAGTTGAGTTAAAGGAGAGGGTGCTTCATCCCAAAGTCCTAAAGTCTCCCACTTATGGAGCAGAAAATCCTAAAAGGAATGCACTGAAGCTCGTCCTAGCCATTAGGCTAGGGTCCTGTAAAAACTCTTACAGCTTGGCAGAGGGTCCTGCCACTAAATCCGTGAGTGACATCATGGTAGCTTCAAATAAGGAAAGCTCAGTGCAGCGCCCAGGTGCCTGCTAAGGGAGAGCAGCAATGGGTGGGTTGGACTCGGGGCCACGGACAGCATGAGGGTACCATGCTGTCCATCAGGGCCTAGGGTGGGAGCAGGGCAGAGGGCACCCTACAGAGGTGGGAAGGGCTGCTTCGCAGTTCTGCCCTGAACAGCTGGTGGGGGAGTAGTGGTGTAGGGGACAGAGAAAACTTAGGGTGGGGAGGCCTACCCACCCTTCATGTCCCCAGCACCTCCACCCTTACAGCCTGAAAGGCTTTCTGCTTCTGTACAAAGAAAGGGTGTGGGCCTCTCTTACTCCTTCATGTAGAGTAGTGAGGTCTCAGAAACTCTAACGTTCTGGAGAGAATATTTGAGAACACTTATTTCAACATGAGAAGATCTGAATTCCTGTCCCAGCTCCACTAGTTGATTGGGGTTGCCCATGTCATACCTCACTAGGTGAATAGCTTAGCTACTTAAATGGGCCTCCTCAGGTCACAGGTATCTCTGTCCTGAGGAGCTAAGTAATCTTGCTTTGAACAAAGAGCTTCACATCTCAGGCCCTGAGTGTCCTCAAATGTGCTGAGGGAGTAATATGTCATAGACAAAGGTAAGGGTGACATAAAGGATGTGAAAGTATCTCGAAAACTGTCATTCACCATACAGAACCTGATTGTGGTATGTTTGTGTGAAGTTCCCTGTCAGCCTTGAGAACTTAAAACAGTCCTATTAAGTGATCTGCTTTATGGGATGAACAGAGATGAGCAGATATTTGCCTCTCCACCCTGCCCCCTGCCTTTTTCAGGGAGAACTGCTATTTCTTTTGGTGGAAAATGGTGTCTTTTTTTCCTCCCCTGCCAATTCAATGGTCCACCTATTTTTCCCCACTAGCCCACCTTCCCTACTTGCATTATTAGACTAACAAACTGGAAAAGTGAAACTATTCCTCCCCAGTTCTGGCCCGGAGAGCACTTTCCCACCAAGACCTCCTGTCACTCTGACCTTGTCGCATGGATGATGAACAAGGCTCAGCCCTAAAGACAGTAGTGTCCCCACAGCACTGGTAGAAGGAACAGGAATGCCAGGTAGGATGTAACAGAGAGGAAAAGGCCTCTCTGGTGTGGTCTGCAGGGCAGTGCCTCTCACCACTTCACTGCTTTTTTTTTTTCCAGTATAATTCAACTCTTAGGTATCACACAATACCTTATATGGTGCTTGTCATATAGCAGGTCGTTAAGACTCGTAGATAAAGAGCAGGCTGACAGCTAGGGAGAGGGGTTGGAATGTAGAGGGATGGAGCAAAAAAGAAAAAAAAAAGAACTCATGAACACAGACAACAGTGTGGTGATTGCAGGGGTTGAGTAGAGGTGGAAGAGGGTATGGAGAGATAAATGGTAATGGAAAAAAATAAAATAGAATAAAAACAAATAATAAATGTCAAATAAGTGGGAAAAAAGAGGAAGTAAGTAGGAGGGAATCTTGATCCCAACTGCACCATTTTTGCTGGAGACAAAATGGTCCTGATTGAGTAGGAGACCCCAAGTCAGTGGTCTGAGCCATGCTGCTGCAATGTCAACATGAAGTTGTCCCTTCCTCTAAAACATCAGTGGATACTAGAAAGTTGTATGCCCTTCAGATATATTTTAAATGCTTGGAGCAGGAGGGGTGAACTCAGTGAAGAAACATTTTTTGTTAAACAGAAAAATACTGTCAATAGTAGCATGGTAAAACAATAAGCAAGCCTTACTGTATATATCTGGCATGTCTAGATGTTTTTAAACTGAAAGTTTTAGAAGAAGATAAATTTTTAACTATTACTCACAATGGATTTCATGTTGTATCGTTTCTATTATGTTTTAGGTCCTCCTGGCCCCAGGGGTCCAAAAGGTGACAGAGGACAACAGGGCCTCCCTGGACCCACTGGCAACAAGGGACAGAAAGGAGAGAAGGGGGAGCCTGGGCCGCCTGGCCCCACCGGTGAGAGGGGCCCAGTTGGGCCGGTTGGCCCCCCCGGAGAGCGAGGCGGCAAAGGCTCCAAAGGCTCTCAGGGTGCCAAAGGCTCCCGTGGGTCCCCCGGGAAGCCTGGCCCTCAGGGTCCCAGTGGGGACCCAGGTCCCCCAGGCCCCCCAGGCAAGGACGGACTTCCTGGCCCCCAGGGCCCTCCCGGCTTCCAGGGACTACAGGGCACCGTGGGGGAGCCCGGGGTGCCTGGACCACGGGGGCTGCCAGGCTTGCCCGGGGTGCCAGGTATGCCTGGCCCCAAGGGCCCTCCAGGCCCCCCAGGCCCATCAGGAGCAGCAGTGCCCCTGGCCCTGCAGAACGAGCCGACCACAGCGCCTGAGGCCAATGGTAAGCCTGTGCCCTCCCTGGCACCAGGGGGCAGGGCCAGTATGGGTGCTTGTGGCTAGGCTGGCCCCAGTGTGCAGCTCCAGGCTTCCTCTACACCCCATTTTATTTGGTAGCAAAGGTTTCATGTGGGGGAGGCAGTGTGACTCAGGTACAAATGTTTCTCTCTCAACATAATCAGGTTCTCTAGCCCTTGTTTATTTAGCTGAGTCCAGCCCTTGGGGACAAACACATTCCCAGACTTTTCCTTCATGAAAGTCTAAGAATAGCTACTCCCAACCCATCCCGTCCCACTCTGTGCCCTTCACGTGGGGACAGGTGTCCCTCAGTTAACATGCAGGTGGCACTTTCTGTTACTGAAGTCCAGATTCCATTTCTTTTGAGAAGGTATTATGGTAACTTCTAGTCTTTTCATAAATAAACCTTTGGTAAAACCCAAATGCTGGGTTTGCAACCAAGCCTATTTTTCTCTTCTTTGACCCACACCTAATTCCAATTGATCTCCTCTGGTGCAACTTGAATCATCTTTGCCATTCTGTGAGTCCGACTGGATTCTGGGTTCTCCCATCTAGTTGTCTATAGGTTCCATATGATTCCAGACTGACACTGAACATCTGTGTCTGCACTGCCTTTTATTGTTGTTGCTATTATTTCTGTCATTGTAAATACTAACCCAGATGTAGAGGAACAAAGACCCAGAGCAGATATTTTCTAGATTATGTGGTTTTGACTCCTGTGTCCTCTGCAGTCCACTTCCCTGTTCTGTCCTTGTTCCCGGCATGTCCATGAATGTCAGTCATGGGCTCCGCACTTGGACACAGGGGCTGCTCCTGGCCTGCAAGGGAAACAGGGCTGTGGCTGTGGCTGTGGCCTCATAAACACAGCTGAAGAAGGCACAGTGCTTTCCATGTTTGCTTTTAATCAGTGTTGTAAACCTTTGCATTCCTAGGCTGCCCGCCTCACTGGAAGAACTTCACAGACAAATGCTACTATTTTTCGGTTGAGAAAGAAATTTTTGAGGATGCGAAACTTTTCTGTGAAGACAAGTCTTCACATCTCGTCTTCATAAACACGAGAGAGGAACAGGTATGTTTGCGGCATACCTAGAGCTGAAGAAAACTATAATTTAGGGATAGTTTACATCTGGAAATTGCATGCTTACTAGGGAGTCAAAGATGTCAAGAATTCATGGTCATATAAACACAGAAGGCTGCATTATGGAGATTTGGGCTTTATCCAGTGACAAGAAGCATTCCTAGCGTGGGAAGTATATCTTCTTGCTTCCACCTGGAAGATTGCTCAATCAAGCCTGGAGGGGTGTGGCTCCTCCCAGCGGCTGTCGAGAGAGTAGTAACACAGAAGAGAAACCTGCAGGCTGGCACCAGGCACCTGACGAGAGAGTAGCAAAGACGCATGAGTACCACGGGGCTGGAGTGGAGTGTAAGGGACCAGACATATGGCCCCACCAGAGTCAGGAAGAGCAGAAAAGGCCATAGGGATAGAACCCACATGGGAAAAGGATGGTGACTACTCACTGGGCCCTTACAGTGTGCCAGGCACCGTGCAAGGTATTTACTGTTTTAAACTCCTTGCTTTTCCCTAAGTATCTCCAGCAAGCTCACCCCTGAAGACAGATGCTCCCCACAGTACCTGCCTGGAAATTAACATACAACCAGGTGCATGGGCCTTAGGATATACAGAGCTGGGCCCAATCCCAGCTCAGCCACTTATCTTCATTACGTAGGTTGTTGTAAGGCCTAAAGACACAATGCAGGCAACACACTGGAGGTAGCACCTAGCCCAGAGGAAGACCTCAATGATGTCATGCATTGCTGTTACTGTTGTAGAAGAACACAGGAGGGCTGGGTGGTAGGAGGGGTGGAGCCTGGCTGAATTCATTGAGTGGTCTGGGTGATTTAGAGGAGTTATAACATTGTTGAAATATCACTCATGAGTTTATAAGAGGAAAACTATCAAAGTCCCCAAACAGTGCAAACAAAACAAGTACAATAAAAAGAGAACAGCAAAAACAGGGTAATGTGCTGACAAACATCCTCTTTTAAAGTGTCCTTTTTTTCTAAATATTTGGGGCGGGGGACGGCGGTGCCCAGACATCTGTTCCAAGAAACGCTAATGCACCATCTCTGGTTTATTGTTCAGCAATGGATAAAAAAACAGATGGTGGGGCGAGACAGCCACTGGATCGGCCTTACTGACTCGGAGAATGAAAACGAATGGAAGTGGCTGGATGGGACCATTCCAGAATATAAGTGAGTGCTCAGAAACTTCCAGATGGGTGGTCGGAATCTTGCTGTTCTGTTTTTCACCTCTTGCTGACTCCCTACAATTTTTTTCTTAACAACATTATGTCCTAGATACTCCTCACACTGAGGAAGCTCCTGGTACCAGTCGTGTATTTCTATGAAGGGAAATTGTGGTTGGGACTATATATACTGTAGAGTTTTTCTTTTTTCTTTTCATGGAGTGAATTTTTTTCATTACTGTGAAAAAAAAAAATCAGACCCATAAAACCACACAGTATGTACTTGTGGCCTAAATGTTCTTTTTAAACGCTGCTATGAAGGAGAAGGAAGCCCAGACCGCCTCAGGCACATTCAGAGTTCACCCCAGCCATGGTCCTGACATAGGCTGGGGAGCTGCCTTCCGGATAACAGCATCCGTGCTGCTAAGCTCATTGGTCCTCTGGCCAGAGCATGATTATGAACTACAAGTTTACAACTCTCCTGCACATGGGAAGTTCAAGTGCATTGTGAACAAAGGTGTTTGTGGGATAACCATCTCTTATAGGTTTGACGATTCCCTGAGTGGTCTGATGTGACCAGAGTTCTCTAAATGCAGCAACAAAGAATGGAAACATGTCACAGTGCTTTCTCAGAGCCCCTGGGGGTACAGAAGTCTCCACATGCCCCCTCCTACCCCCGGTGTCCTCCCAACCTAATCCTGCTCAAGGGTCTGAAATATCACTTCTTCTTCCTACTCCTGCTTTGCCTCTGATGGAAGTGAAAATAGGCAATAAACTGTACCAAATGGAGCAGAATTTACAAAAACCCACCTCTGAACTCCTTCTTTTGCTGAAGACAGAGAAGACAGGCTCTGCCTGCAGAGGTGCGAGTAGGTGTGAGGGCATCTCAGCATCAGCGGCACGTCCCGAGCAAGGAGGAGACGACAGCACCCATGGCACCAGGAGAGGAGAAAGCAAGGGTTTCAGGTCTCAAACAGTGTCACGGGCACTGAGGCTGGACCTATAAGAGTCGAGGAGCAGGAGTGGGTCAGAGTGGAGGGGCCACAGCCACATGGGTTGACAAACAGGCTTCTCTGTACTTTTAAATTCTTCATGTGAAGAACATGATTAGAAGATATAGATGGACCAGAATAAGGCCATCTCTTAAAAAAAAAAAAACTTTTTTTAAGTGACCAAAAGTCAAGGGAGAGCATTTGAAGATTTTAGGTCTGCTGAAGGTGATCCTCAGATTGGCCCCAGGACATTGGCATCAGCCTTTGGTCCTGACAGATATCCTGTCTGCCCCTCTCTGCACCTATCCATGGGGAGATGAAGTGACACTGCATCGTGGTCCCTGGGAATTGGGCTGTCAGCCAGAGGAAAGCACCTAGCAGGGCAGAGGTGCGCTTCAGGAGACTCAACACAGTGGAGCAGTGGAAGTGGGTATGGGAGGCAGAGATGAGTAAAAGAAAAGGTAAATCTATGGCTTTGACAGTTGAGAGTGCCCAGGTCTTTTTTTTTTTTCCCCCTTTTTTAAGGGAGTCAGAGGGGAGCTGAAAAAAAAATAAAAATCGGTCTCCTCCACTTTTCTCACAGCCATAAATGCAAAAAAAAGTCTGGATTAGACTCACTAAGAAATTCAATCTTAAACCTTCCTCAGAGAAAAAAAATGGACTGGCTCATGTGGAATGGACTGAGGAGAAACATTACTGTCTATGCCAGCTCTCCCAAAGTGGAACTTTTCTCCTCTTCCCTGGGCTCCAGCAAGAGTTATGTGATTTGGAGGGAGAGCACCAGCATTGGTACCTGAGACCTGAGAAGGATTACATCATCAGACACCTTCCCGGGACTCTGTCTGTCCCCAGCCACAGCCACCCTGAAGCCTCCTGCGAGTCTGGCTCCCGCGTCAGCCACAGCACAGACTGTGCTTCTCATTTTCCACCCAAAGGAATACATATACATGTAAAAACCCCCAGGATCAAATTTTTAAAGCAAGAATAAATTAGGCAGACATACTATGAGGCCTCAATAACTGAAGGCTAATTCAACTCGACATAGAATAATAAACATTGCACAAACTAGAAAGGCAGCCAGTGAAGTGAGGAGAGAGAGCACATGCCCTGGAGTCAATCGATGGTCTGAGTTCCAGGCCTTGACCGAGCACTCAACAGATGCGTGACCTTGTGTGGGCTACTCAACCATGTGTGCTCCCCATGTCCTCATATAGAAATGAATATTATGAAAGGACCCACATCGGTATGTGACTATTAAATAATATATGTAAAGCATTTAGTGCAGTACTTGGCCCATGGGAAGTGCTTAAGAAATGTCACCTGATAGTATTGATATTATTAATGCTAATACTGTCATAATCCTCACTACTTTCATACTGGTCAGTAATTACAGAATAATACTACCTAGCATTTATATATCATACAGTGTCCTGATTGAGATGCCACGCACAGTCTCTCACATACCATAATAAGTTTGTAAAGAAGACTGTTTCCTGCCATGCCCTGGGATAGGGCCTGGGAGCCAGGCTCTCAGGGGGTCTCCCACCAGTATGAGTCTCCCCAAATACTTCTCCGTCTGCTCAGGCTCATTTTCACCCTCCTCCTCTTTGCTTCTGTGGCCTCCAAGTACTGGTTCATTGCCTTCTCTTTCCCCTGCCACAAATTTCCTTCTACCCTTTTTACACACACACTCCTAAGCCCTTTTGAAATTGTTTCAGGGTTTCGCATTTACTCTTAAAGAGGAAATAGACAAGGGAAAAAGGCTCTCCTCTGCCTCTGGCAAACTCTCTGTGTTTTAGGCTGATATGTGGGTGAGGAAAGCGAGTGCTGGAATAAACAAACAGAAAGCAACAGTCACATGGAATGGATGCCAAAGGCTGAGGGCACACACAGATCTCAGCTAAGGTTTATTTCCAATAAAGCATATGACCTGGCTCACTGACTGTCAGGACCAGCAGTTGAGGAAACGGATGGCATGAGAAACCATGTGTGATGTATCAGAACAGTGCCCAAGACAGGGTTTTCAATGCTTTAGGTCCACAAACCAATACAATTCCAAAAGAAAAACTGGAGGGCTGCCATGACATTGCCAAGATTTTATTTGACAACTATGGACACGAGTTTTTAAAATCACCTATCAACAAATCTCAGCATTGAAAAGACAAAGATAAAACCTCCCGTCCTTTTCAGAAGACAGCGCGCGCACTCGCGCGCACGCGCGCTCTCTCTCTCTCTCTCTCTCTCTCCCATTTTTCACCTTTCACCACACACCTATGAAAACTTCATTCCAGACCAGCACCTCTGACTGGAGATTGGGATCCACTGGGCCCCAGCCCTGTGGTAACGCTCAGTGAATTATCCTGGGGCATCCACTGTAAGCCAGCCTCCTGCTGGCCTGGAGGATCTTTGCCAGAATGTGTGGGCAGCAATGTGAGTGAGAGGGGGTGTTCTTCCACTTATGTAAAAAAATCTGATTTCCAAGACCACAATCCAGAAGACATATATACCAACCCTAATGGTGGACATAGCAAAGGACAGGACTTCAAAGGAGATTTCAACATTCTTCCCTCAGTAACTGATAGAACGAGTAGAAAAACAAGAAGGGAAATGGTAGGCACAGCCAACTAACTTGACTTCATGCACATTATGGAACATTTCATCCAACAACTACAAATATACTCTTTTCAAGTGCTTATGGTACATTCACCAAGATAAACTATATGCTGCACCCTCAAACAAGTCTCAATACATTTATTTTTTTAAGATGTTTTTAATTTATTTTTTAGAAGGAGGGGGAGGGAGGGAGAAAGAGAAGCGGGGGAAACATTGATGTGCCAGAGAAACATCAATCGGTTGCCTCTCACACAGTTCCAACCAGGGACCTGTCCTGCAACCCAGGCATATGCCCTGACTGGGAATCAAACCTGCAACTTTTTGGTTTGCAGGATGACACCTAACCCCCTGAGCTACACCAGTCAAGGCAAGTCTCAGTATGTTTAAAAGCAATGGAATTATACAGGATATGTTCTCTGACTAAAACAAAATTAAATTAGAAACAAAGAACAAAAAAAAAATAGCTGTAAAATCCACAAATATTTGGAAATTAAAGGACACACATCTAAATAACCCATAGGCCAGAGGAAAAAAAATCACAAAGGAGATTTTCAAATGTTTCAAACAAAATGAAAACACAACATGTCAAGTTTTTTGGGATGCAGCTAAAACAGTGTTTAGAGAGGATTTATAGCTTTAAAACACTTAGAAAAAATTTTTAGGTTGAAAATCAATGATGTAAGCTTTTACTTTCAGAGGGTAAAAGAAGAAGAACAAATTAATCTCACAGTAAAGTAGAAGGAAGGAAACAATAAAGAATGGAAAGCAATGAAACAGAAAACAGACAAACCAGAGACAATCAGTGAACCAGGAACATATCAAAGCTAATCTTCTGCTCTTGATGGAATAAATGTAGGTACATCATTTGACAGATGTGCATCACTGTTGACGTCACTGTTAACAGAGGTCATCTGTTAGCACAGGGCAATCAGACACAAGTGGGATGTGTAGACTCTGTCCACATGTTCAGGGCAGAACTGTGAGGTACCTTTTAAGGCCTTGCCTGCCCACCTGGCTTGTAGAGTTGCCCACCTTAGGACACCAGAAATGTGATACTCTTCCTGAGGGTTTTCCAAAACACAATGAACCTCCTTTACTCTTGCCCACTTCTTGGTCCCCTGTACAGAATACCACTTGGTGGGAGTATGCTGTCAAGTTATGAGTAACAGCTCTCACCTCTACATCACAAAGATAAAACATGGGTTGCCTTTCTGTCCACACAGACTGTTCCCTATAATATCATATAGTGCAATTTTAGATCAGAGAACCATAGAATGGTGAGGACCAGAAGGGAACCCTCTGGTCAGTGTCACCTAACTCAGTAACTCTGGTCCATGCCTCATGTGGCACTGGCTTAGATCATGAGAGAGAAGGCTTCCACTGGACAGACCCCTATAGCTGGAGAAAATTCTAGAGCAAAGAAACACTTCTCACTAGTAAGATTTTCCTGTTTTGAGGCCAGGCTGTTACCAGGATAAGTTTTTTGGCCATGAGGCCTCAATCTTGTGGTCAATGAGAAAGTTACTAAGTTGTAAGGTTGGAAGGGGTGAATCCCAAGAGTGAGACTTTGTGTTCCGCCTCCATTAGGATCAGCCCAGAATCCCGAGGCGGGGGGAGAACATCACACCCACAAGCTGATGTGCTTGTGTGTTTCCAGCTCACTGGAACAGTGAGTCCAAGTGCTTCCAAGGCCCCTGGTGTACTTACATTGTGGGTGTGTCGCTACCCAACCACTTCTGTAACATGTATATTGTTATGAGATCCAGGGATTTCCAGCCTTGGCCTCTGCTGTTCTTTCCCCAAAGTCTATCCATGAATGAGGTTGTGCTATTTAAGTTGAGTTTTATCTCCAAAATATGTATATTCTGTTTATCTAACATGTTCTATTTTATTACAAGCATGCACGCTGAGAGGGTTTTAATAAATCACTCCATGTGATTTTAGCTTTTCTGAAGAGATGCTTCAAGACTTCGGGTGCTCAGTGTACAGGGCAGATTGTCCCTACAGCCTGGCTTCAGGCTACTCCATCACAGAGCCACACTGGTCCCACTTCACTCACCCTACTCACCTCCATAGAACTGCATTCTACTTTTAGTCCTGAGGGAAATACTGTGAGTCCTGTAGGTGAAGAATGCCAATGACCTGGGGCAACAAATGGAGACTGGTGATAAGAAATTACCTTTGATATTAATTATCCTTTTGTCTAGTCTATAAATCTCTTTTACCTACTTAAAATGACAAGGAAATGCAAGGGGTAAATATTATGCAGGTCTTCTATCAGAAATCACATTTATATAATTTCCCAATTAACTGAGAAATAAAAATTATCAACTGTCCCATCATTATACATACAAGAATCACAGATTTCAAATTTGGTAAACAAAATTAGAATCGAGTCCCCTTACATTACTGGCAGAATAAACAAAATGTACAGCCACATGAGCAGACAATTCAGGCATCATTGACATTCCCAGACAGGTTCTGCAAGGTGGACAGAAATGCACAGAAAAGCATCCACGTGAAAGTAAACTGATTTTCCTTCCAACTTCATCTCTCTCTGGCATGACTGCGGCAGTTTGAGATTTTTAATTCATTTGTTTTTCATGGGGGTTTTTTTGTTGTTGTTTTGGTTTTTTTCTTGTTGTTGTTTTTTGCCCGGTACATGAGTTCTGCGAGAGGGCTGGGGCTGTCTATTCTCTGCATTGCTGTGTTGCCCTCACCTTAAACTATCCCTGACCCAGAGTAGGTGTTACGTGGATATCTGTTGTATGAAAGTATGAATGAGTTACTATTTTTAACTCTTTCTCCTATCACCCCATTTTTACTTTCATCAGTTGGCATCAGTTTCACCTAAATTACCTTTTCATCACTAGTTTTATTTAAGTAAGGTCACATCACTTTTTTCAAAAATTCCCATTAATTGTACATTTCAACTGTCCTTTCCCACTGCCCTCTGATTTTGTGGGTTTTATTGTCAAAAGATGTAGGGCAATTGGGCTCTTATCTTCACGTGATCCTAGGCCACACTGATGGAACAATGAGTCATGGTTTATGGGAAGTGCCTCCTGCTGCAGATGTTCTTTTGGACCCTCCACGTAAGACAAACTTGTCCTCTCAGGTGGTAAACACAGGCTTCTGTGGAAGACCTGCTTCTTAGAGAAAATTTACTTTCCAGTTTTGAGTCTTGGAAGCACATCTAGCTTATTGCATGGAAATAGAATCAAGAACAGCAAACATTGGCAAAGTGGTGATTTGGGCAGCGACATCCAAGTTAAGAAGCACAAGTGAACTCATCCTAAAGAAAACTTGTTTTTAAGAATCTCTCTTCCAAAAAAGGCAGTGAAATGTATGAATCATTTTCAGTAAGATTAAATTACTATTTCTTTCTAAAACAGTCAACCATCTACAACTTAACCAGAGAACCATAATGAAGTGTTTGTAATTGTAGGTTCTTGTAAATGTATATCAAGGGTCTCTCACTTTCTCTGCCTGACTCTTTGACTTGTGACAGAAGCAGGGTATCGAAATGTACAAAAACCCCTCTGGGTTCTCACAAGAATGTTTGCATGTATCTATCCTCAAAATGCATGTACATTTACTCAAATATTTACACGCATGCCCAGAAGTCAGCATTACCTTATAAACTCGAACACTTTCATTCATCTAACTGTGTTAAAGAAGGATTTACCCCCCTCAGCATTGTGATGTAGCAGCTCAAAGAGTTGATTTCACTGTGACAGAGGTTTGACAAAGAAAGCCTTGTAGGGAGATGCTGCAATACACACGACAGGCATACCTTGTTTCTAGACCACACAATAAAGCAAGTCATAATCTTTTTGCTGATGAAGGGTGTTGCCTTCAATTTGTAAAAAATACAACACATGTGGAGTGTAATAAAACAATGCAGTAAAATAAGGTATACTATATTCTGCAAAATAACTGATTCTTATTCTGAATAAGAGTATGCATGGATTTTTCAACAATGCATTTTCATTCTAGGACAAATGACATTCTTCGGTTTTGTGTTTTGTGTTTCCCTGCTGCTTTGGGGTAAAGAACACTTCTGCATGACCCTGAAAATAACATTCAATTTCTGTTTTGTTAAAAGAAATTGGAAAGCTGGACAGCCAGATAACTGGGGCCATGGCCACGGGCCAGGAGAAGACTGTGCTGGGCTGATTTACGCTGGGCAATGGAACGATTTCCTGTGTGAAGACATCAATAACTTCATATGTGAAAAAGACAGGGAGACCGGTAAGCAGTAAAGGGGACTTAAGAAGGTGCTGCAGAGTTTATATCCTGTTAAAGGATAAGAGGACTCTGAATCCAGTCCTGCTTCTGTCACTTTCTGGGTGGGCAGGTTATCAGCCTCAGGGGAATAATGATAGCATCCTCTCAATGAGGTTGCTGTGAGGACACAATAATAAATGTGCCTAATATGCAGGAAGGGCTGAGTAAATGTTAGACTAACTGGCCTGGGTTATAATATTGTCACTCAATTGTTCTTTAACATGGCACCAATGTTACATCTTTTTCATAGAGTTCCATGCACAGTCAATTCAGGTAGCCAAGCACTTAATTCCACATGTATTTATGGAGCATTTACTATGGGCCAGATGCTCTGCTAGATAACAGAGGGATATATTCAGTGCCCTTGTAAGTTAATAAGCCAAAAAGGCTTTTAGAGGTTTTTCTCATTTCAAAAGATACTTATCAAAAGCTTCATTTAATACATGACCTTCTTTAGAATATGGCCTCTTAATTTTTATCATCAGAACTAGATTTAAAAGTTTATAGGAAGAAGGACTGAATGCTAATCGGTAGAGGGTTTCTTTGGGGGGTAATAAAAATGTTCTAAAATGTGATTAGTCTTAAATTGTACAACTTTGTGAATAGTATAAAAACCACTTTAATTGTATACTTTAAATGATATGTGAATTATATCTTATGAAGCCTTTCTAAAAAAAAAATAGTTGGTGAGAGACCTTCAAGGGCAGGCACTAACTTTGTACTCTCCCTCTGCCATGCTGCTGAGTGTCAGTATCTTTCTAAAGGGTACCTCAGTTTTTTGCAGCTGCTGCCCAGAGGACATCCCTTGACCACCTAGTTCTCGTGGCCAGGAGAGCTTACATTTCTGAGTCTGATGGGGCTGTAACAGAGGCAGTTCTTGGCCAGCTACCACCCACACCCAGGGCACAGCACACACAGCAGAATGAACTACAGCCCCAGTCTTTCTGTGAAAGAGGCCTAGTTCCTTGTCCTGGAGCTTTGGCAGGGGGGACAAGCTTCTGGTTTGGAGCACACCTAGGGGACTACTGATGCCAGTGGATACATTTGCACACTCCCTCTGCCTCATTAGCATCTCCCAGACAGGAACTTGTACACTCCTCTGGTGCCCTGATCTTTGTGACAACTGCTCAGGAGACACTTCAGGTCACCCATCTCTGGGGGCCAGTGGGACAATACTTGTGGTCCCACAGAAGTGTATATATTTGCATATTTTAAAAGCTGCTGCCTAAGGATGTGACTTCCAATCAGTCTGAATCTGGGTGCTGGGGGAGGTCCTCCGCTTTGGGACACTGACAGGTCTTGAAACTGCCTCAACTACAGGGGGGGGTCACTAATTATTATATAGGCTTCTTGGACAATCACAAGGATTTGAAAAACAACCAAGAGCTAGGACAAGGTTCAATAAGGTTCATCTCCTCCACAAGGCTACTCCTTCAAGACTGGCAAAGGTGGCTCTTTTACCTAATGCATAGAAACCAACATAGAGAATCAAAGTAAATGAACAGAGAGACACATGTTTCAGACAAAAGGACAAGATAAGCCCTAGCTGGTGTGGCTCAGTGGATTGAGCAGCAGCCTGTGAACCAAAAGGTTGCTGGTTCAATTCCCAGTGTAGGGCGCATGCTTGGGTTGCAGGCCAGGTCCCCAGCAGAGGACACACCAGATGCAATCACACATTGATGTTTCTCTGCCTCTCTTTCTCCCTTCCTTACCCTCTCTAAAAATAAATAAATAGTTTTTTTTAAAAAGAACAAGATAAAACTTCAGCAAGTCCTTAATGAAATGGAGATAATTTACCTGATAAAGAGTTCAAAATAACAGTCATAAAGATGCTCAACAAACTTGGGAGAAGAATGGATGAATGTACTGGGAACTCAACAAAGAAATAGGAAATATAAGAAAGTACCAAAAAGGAGTCATAGAGCTGAACCATACAATAACTGCAATGAAAAATATACTAGTGGAATTCAACAGTATACTAGATGAAGCACAGGAGGGGCTCAGTGAACTCAAAGAGAGGGCAGTAAAACTCACCTTTTCAATCAGCAAAAAAGGAAAAACAGAATTTAAAAAAAGTGAAGATAGCTTAAAGGACTTATGAGACCAGTGGACCAATGTTCATATTATAGGGGTCCCAGAAAGAAAAGCAAGAGAGAATGGGACAGAAACTTATTTGAAGAAATAATGATTGAAAATGTCCATAACCTAGAGAAGAAAACAGACATTTGAATCCAGGAAACCCAGAAAATCCCAAATAAGGGGAACCCAAGGAAACTCACAGCAAGACCCATTAAAATTAAAATGTCAAATGTTAAAGGAGAGAGTATTAAAATTAGCAAGAGGAAAACAACTTGTTCCATATGTACCATACAAGGAAACTCCTGTGAGACTATAAGCAGATTTTTCTCAACAGAAATTTGTCACGCCAGAAGACAGTACCATGATATATTCAAGTGCTGGAGGAAAAAAAAAAAAAATCCAACCAGAAATACTCTACTGGGCAAAGTTGTCCTTCAGAATGGAAAAAAAGATTGAAATTTTTCCTAGGGAAGCAGAAGTGAAAGGATTTCATCCTTTATAAAATATTAAATACAATCTCACATAAAATATTAAAGGGACTTCTTTAAGCTGAAAAGAAAGGGTGCTAATTAGTTACAGGGAAACATATGAAAGTATAAATTTTGCCAGTAAAAGTAAAAAATTCAGAATATTCTCATTTTGTAAAGATGGTGGATTAATCATTTATAGAGCTAATATGAAGGCTGAAAGACAAAAGTAGTAAAAAATAACTGTAACTGATAACTTATTAAGGAATACACAATAGAAAAAGATGTTAACTGTGACATCACAAACATAAAACGTGGTAGGGAAAGAGTAAAACTGGAGAGCTTTGGAATGTGATCAAACTTGAGTTGTTATCAACTTAAAACAGACTGTTATAAATATAAGTTGTTATATGTAAGCCCATGGTAACCACAAAACCAAAACCTATACTAGATACAAAGAAAATAAAAAGAAATCTAAGTATACCACTAATGAAAATCATCAAATCACAAAGGAAGCAAGAAGAAGGGGACAGAGGAACTACAAAACCACCAGAAAACAATCAACAAATGTCAATAAGTACATACTTATCAATAATTACTTTAAATGTAAATGGACTGAATTCTGCAATCAAAAGACAAAAGAGTGGCTAGATAGATAAAAATACAATCTATAGGTTGCTTAGAAGAGATTCACTTCAGTGAAGGACACACACAGATGGAAAAAGATATTCCATGCAAATGGAAACAAAAAAAGTTGGGTACCTATATTTATATCAGACAAAATAGACTTTAAAACAAAGACTGTAATAAGAGACAAGGTCATTATAGGATGATAAAGAGTCAATTCATCAAGAGGATATAATATTTGTAAATATTTATGTACCCAACATAGAAGCACCTAAATATATAAAGCAAATATTAACAAAACTAAAGGGAAAAATAGATAGCAGTACAATAATAGAAGAGGACTTTAATGGGTAGATCATACAGACAGAGTTAATAAGGAAACATTGGCCTTAAACAACATATTAGGTCAGATGGATTTAACACAGATACACTTAACATTCCACCCAAAAGCAACAGAATACATATTCTTCTCAAGTACACATGGATATGTGTACACCAGCACTGTCCAGGAGGATATATCATTCATTAGGCCACAAAACAAGTCTTAATAAATTTAAGAAGGCTAAACTCATATCAAGCATCTCTTCTGACCACAATGATGTGAAACTAGAAATGAGTTACAAGAGGAAAACTGGAAAATTCACAAATATGTGGAGTTTAAACAACATGCTACTGAACAACTTATGGGCCAAAGAAGAAATCAAAAGAGAAAAAAATACCTTGAGGCAAATGAAAACAGAAATACAGCATACCAAAACTTATGACATGCAGCAAAACCAGTTCTAAGAGAGAATTGCAACAAACGCCTACATCAAGAAACAAATGGGGGAAGGGAATATAAGGGGAAAAAATGGTAATGGGAAAAAATACAGTAAAAAAGTAAATTAGACTTCCAGTCAAGATGGAGGCATAGGTAAACACACTTCACCTCCTTGTCCAGCCACACAAAGAATTACAACTAGACCTCTAAACAAACAACACCCAAAACCACCAGAAAATCAAGCGGTATGGAAATCTAACAACCAAGGATTTACAGAAGCCATATTCATCCAGACAGGTGCTTTTTTTTACAATAAGCCATGCTACTAAGACAGAGGGTCTAAGGAGCTCTACCTAATACACAGAAACAAACACAGGGAGGCTGCCAAATTGAGGAGACAAAGAAATTTGGCCCAAATGAAAGAACAGAACAAAACCCCAGAAAAAGAACTAAATGAAATGGAGATAACCTATCAGATGCAGAGTTCAAAACACTGGTGATCAGGAAACTCAAAGAACTCATTGACTATGGCAACAAAATAATAAAGACCCAGGCAGAAATGAAGGTTACACTAAGTGAAATAAAGAAAAATCTACAGCGAACCAACAGTGGAGGGGATGAAGCTAGGATTCAAATCAGCGATTTGGAAGCCTAGAAGCAATAAATTCCTAGAAATAGACAGCCTACCAAAAACTGAATTTTTTTTTTTTAAAAAAAGAAAACCTGAACAGATCAATTACTATTCAGGAGATTGAATCAGTAATCAAAAACCTCCCCCCGAAAAAAGTCCAGGAGCAGTTGGCTTCACTGGTAAATTCCATCAGACATTTAAAGAAGAATTAATACCAGTCCTTTTCAACTCTTCCAAAAAATAAAAGAGGAGGGAACACTTCCAAACACATTTTATGAGGCCAGCATTATCCTGATACCAAAGCCAGACAAGGACACAAGTAAATAAAATTACATTCCTATATCTCTGATGAACATAGGTACAAAAATTATCAACAAAATATTAGCAAACCAAATTCAACAATAAATTAAAAGGATTATACACTGCAATCAACTGAGATTTATTCCAAGGATGCAAGGATGATTTAATATGTGTATATCATTCAGTGTGATATACTACATTAACAAAATGAAGGATAAAAATTATATGATCATCTCAATATGAGGGGGGGCCCAAAAAACTGGAATGTATTTATAAAAAATTGTATATTTATTCTTACATGTTTAAATTTCAGTCACCTTCAAAGTACTCTCCATTTGATGCAATACACCTTAAGACATTTTTTCCCACTGCTCAGAACAGTTTTTGAACTTGTCAATGTTGATGCCTTTTAATGCTTTTGCCATTTTTTGTTTTACCTATTTCACATTGACAAAATATTTCCCTTTGAGGACTTTTTTCATTGGGGAAACAAAAAAAAAATTGCTTAGGGCACGGTTGGGTGAACAGGGAGGGTGGGGCATGAGGGTTATGCCATTTTTTGGTCAAAAACTGCTAAATACTCAAGTGCATTTGGGCAGGTGCACTCATAAATGACCCATCATGAAATGGGCAAATGCATTGAAACGTATGTTTAAAGACTTGAATATAAGACCTGAAACCATGAAACTCCTAGGAGAAAACAGGTAGTAAGCTCCTTGACACCTTAACATCTGTCTTGGCAATAACCTTATGGATTTTATACCAAAAGAAAAGGCAGCAAAAGTAAAAATAAACAAGTGGGACTATATCAAACTCAAAAGCTTCTGCATAGCAAAGGAAACCATCAACAAAATGAAAATACAACCTACTGAATGGGAGAAAATTTTGCAAATCATACTTTTGGGGACTTAATCATGTGGTTGGGGACTAATATCCAAAATACATAAAGAACTCATCAACTCTAGCAAAACAAATCCAATTTAAAAATGGGCAGATGATCTGAATAGATACTTTCCCAAAGACATACAGATGGACAACAGGTATATTAAAAGATGCTCAACATCATTAATCATCAGGAAAATGCAAATCAAAACCATAATAACACATCACACCTATTAGAATGGATTAGAATGGTCATTAAAAGAAGAAAATAAATAACAAGTGTTGGCGAGTATGTGGACAAAAGACAACCCTTGTGCACTGCTGGGAGACTATAAATTGGGTCAGTCACTATGGAAAGCAGTAGGCCAATTCCTCAAGAAATTAAAAATAGAACTACCATCTGACTCAACATTTCCACTTCTGGGTATTTATCCAAAGAAAAAGAAATACTAACTTGAAAAGATATATGCACCCCCATGTTCATTGCAGTATTATTTATAATAGCCAACACATGGAGGCAACCTAAGCATCCAATGATGGATGAGTGAATAAAGAAAATATGGTACACACATACACACATACACACACACACACACACACACACACAAAGTGGAATATTATTCAGCCTAAAAGAAGAAAGATCTTGCCATTTGTGACAACATGAATGACCTTAAAGGTATTATGCTAGGTGAAATAAGTCAGACAGAGAAAGACAAATATGGTATGATCTCATATGTGAAATATTTAAAAAAATGGAATTCACAGCTACAGAGAACAGACAGGTGTTTGCCAGTGGCAGGGGTGGGAGGTAGGCAAAATGGGTGAAGGGGGCCAAAAGGTACAAACTTCGAGTTATATAATAAGAAAGCCATGGGGATGTAATGTACAGCATGGTGATTATAGTTGACAATACTGCATTATATATTTGAAAGTTGCTAAAAGAAAAATCTTAGAAGTTCCCATCATAAGAAAAAAACATTTTTATAATAACATCATAGCAAGCTATCTTTATTTGCTCAATAATTATTTCTTCTTTAGTACATTGTATTAAAATTATTTTTATAGATGTATCAAGTTATAATTAACAAATAAAACTTGTATATGTTTTACTTTTACAACATGATGTTCTGCCATACATATACACTGTGAAATAATCATCACAATCAAGCTAATTAACATATCCATCACTTCACATAGTTACCATTTTCCTTTTCTTTATGGTGAGAGAATTTAAGTTTTACCCTCTTAGCAAACTTCAAGTATACAGTACAATATTATTAACTATAGTCACATTGCTGTACACTTTATCTAAGAAAAAATATTTTTTAATTGTACTAATGGATGTTAATTAAATGGAATGTGCTGATCATTTTGCAATAGAGTTGACCCTTGAACAACATGGGTTTGAACTGCAAGGGTCCACTTTATATGCAGCTTTTTGCAATAAATATATAGTCAGCCCTCCATCTCCCCAGATTTCAGATCTGCAGATTCAACTAACCATGGATAGAAAATGGTATTTGTATGGAAAACTGTATTTTTGATACACAGTTGGGAATCTGTGAATGGGGGGGTGCCAGCCATATACATTGTCCTACACCATTTTATATTAGGGACCTAAGCATCTGTGGATTTTGGGATCTACGGGGAGTCCTGGAACGAAATCCCCTACAGATACAGAGGGAGAGCTGAAGTATTTGGGTAGTCAAAAGTTACATGTGGATTTTTGACTACATAGGGGATCACCACTATGTTGTTCAAGGGTCAGCAGTATATACAAATGTCAAATTATTGTTTTATACACCTGAAAGTAATATAATATGTCAATTATATCTCAATTTTTTAAGTTGGTGGTAAAAAGAAATCTCAAATATATTTTGCTCAAATTATTTTTGGTAATAACTAGGGCACAAATTATCCACATATCCACTCAACATGCACATATTAAATATTTTTGGTGTATCAGGCCCTGGTCTAGGTGGTAAAGGTCTCAAGACCCATGAGGACCTCCCAGCATGGCCAGTTCCAGTGCAGAACACAAATATCTGAACAAGAAATTATAGTAGAGTGACAAGTTACCCAGATTTGTCATTTGTTTGCCATGTTTGGTCATTTGGGATTTGAGTTGGGACTAGACTTCCCAGAATAGGCTCCTTCAAAATGAAACTTACCTTTTACTTAATCTGAATAAGAACTACTAGGCATTTCTTTGAAAAAATAAACATAATTGAATGATGTATTTTGGAATCTTTCCTATAAAAATATATGTTCCTTTTTTTAATTGCACATTAACATTATTCTTTTTTTTTTAAATTAACACCCATCCTTTTTCCTCTCTTTTAGTAGTATCATCTTCATTATAATGGATTGTGATGTAATAACATGAGCAAGTTTTCGGACAGTTCTAAAGGCAAAGAATACTTCCTTCTGATTGCATCACCTGCTCACCAGATTGAAAAAAAAAAGCACTGAAAACCAATTACTGAAAAAATTTGACAGCTATTGTTCTTCACCATCTGCCATTACTCAAGGACTTTGGAACAAAAATGTTCCTCTAGTATAACATATTGATTTTCAGTATGTAAATGGACTGAATCACATAGATTTTTCAGCCAGTAACTGTACAGTTATGCAAGTCATATCTTCCAAAGTATGGAATGCTCTGATCATAAAAAGATTATCATTGGTTATTGAGCTTTAGGAAGAACTTAAACATATACTGTGTAAACAGTACCTTACGTTTCTAAAATCCCAAATGTAGAAAAAATATGCAGACATAGAGATATATAGGCCAACTTTTAATAATATGAAATATACTTAAAGAGCTTTTAAAACTGTATTTTTGTACAAAATATTTGCCTTTTTACAATTTTTTCTTTTTTTTTTTTTGTCATTTTACCAATATAATACATGGAGCCAAAGAAAACAATATGGTACTAATAAAAACTCAAAGGATTTGTCAGATTTAATTTTACCCAATGGCAAAGAATTTTTTTAGCTGCGGTTTTTTAAAAATAATTAAATGTGTGTGTACGTATATATTTTTTTAATGCATCATTTCCTCAGAGGAGCCAATCGTGAAATGTCTAGAAATGCCCTTACAGAGTTTGCCAGTATAGGACAAGCCTGAGCATATAAATGGCTCAGTCAAGTGGGCTGTGCATCGAGCCGATCACCAACCAACACCCTTGCTGTGTGCCTGGCAGGCCCAGAGTTTAACTCAGGATGTGCATCTCCTTCATGTTGGTGGAGGCAGGGGTTGGTGGAGAGGCATCTGTTGGGAAAAGTGGAGCACTTGAACCTGGCTATCTAGAAGGCCCTGTTTTATGGGTGAGGTATTAGACCCATACCAGAGCTCATACTGACTGTCAGGAAAATACAGCATCACATCAGCCAAAGGCAGAGATGCTAAAAAGATGGGGACAGCTATGTGCTACCTGGAAAGTTTGTTTACTTAAGTCAGGTTCCAAAAAAACATAATTCCAAGGCACATGCATGATAAAACGCAAGAATAAACTTTTGGCCACTTTGTTGAACTTTTGCAAAGAACCTTTTCTCTGAGCCTATCTTCTACTCCTTGATTGCCATGGAAAAGTGTAACATGAACTATGCTGAAAATAAGCACTAAATATAACCGATGCTCAAAGGTAAGATTTCCATCCAACAGATTCCTTCTCCTCCCCTCCCAAGCTCCCCAGGCAGTGCTGCTACCCATTCCAAATACAACAGTAAAAGAATAAAGACAGAGTTTGACTTTTACACCTGCAGCCGTGTGGATTATCTCGTCTTGTTCCTGGTCACTATCGTGCCCTCTCTGCAGCACAGGAACGGCCATCTCCTCAGCACCTTTATGCCCTGCCATTGGTCTGTGTGGCCTGGTCAGGATGGCAGGACCAAGCATCATCTGGGCCCTGCAACACAGCGCAGGCACTGGACTCTGGTAGCTCTTCAAGGCTCAAGACCTTTTATAGACTAAACTCAATCCTCTTTTTCATCCTCTCCCTGTTTTTTAAGACTCATGTTCAGAAGCAACTTGAAATTAAATGTCTGATGCCATCATCAGAAAAGAACAGTGCTAGCTCCTGCAGCTGAGATTCAGGTACCTCTCCCAGCCCTAGTGGTAACTTATCAAGTGCTTATCATTTGTCAGGCACTGTACGGAGGACTTCAGTCAGATGATCCCAGGTCATCCTCTCAGCAGCTCTATGAAGTAGGACTTACTACTCCCCCCATTTTACAGAGAAAGGAGGGGCTCAGGGAGGTGATGTGATTTGCTGGGTCACACCCTCACCAAGGTGTGATACAGGCTTCAGACTTGAGCTTTTACAACATCCTGATTTTCTTCAACTACCAGGGTCCTTATGAATAATATACTGAATAAAACCAGATGAATCACATTTTATAATTTGCCTCATGTACTCCTTTGTATATTTAGCTATTTACACACAAGTTTCTATTCACCCACTCATAACTGATACTCCTTTGGAAGGACAGTTTTTGTAAATATGATGTTTTCAGGCATCTGACTTGCTATGTGCTATGAGCTGATGGAAACCATTTTTCTTCTAAAATGGCTCTTGAAAGAATGAATGCACAGCCAGGGAAGAGAAACCTTTTTCTTCCCTCTTTGGTAATCAGTGTTCATCATCTCTTCCCCCTATCCTTCCAATTTGTAGTAGTTAGAGTAAGCGAAAGCAGACAATAGTAAGCGCTGCTCCCATTAGAAAAACAAAAACCATGTTTAAGGAAGTGGAAAGTTATATGAATCAAGTACCAATACCAAGCATGTATATTTTGCCTCAGATTACAAAACTGATCTCTACTTAAAAAGTAAGCATGTTAACTCACTTATGACTCACACAACAATATTAGTTTAAATATACTTACCACTTTCACATACATTATCTCATCTAATCTTGGCGCAAAACCTACAGTCATTACTCCAGAAATGAGGAAACGGAGATTAATTCAAAGACTTGGCTGTCGCCCACATTGCTGTCATAGTCCTTTTCAAAAATTCAAATCTGATCAGCTTCCTCATTCTTACATCCCTAAATTCTAGTTCATCCTACCCCTTATCCCCAGCTTACAATCTTCCAAAGGATCTGAGTTGCCCATAGGCCATCCATGCAGGGGCCATAAGGCCCTTGGTGACCAGGTCCCAGCCACACCTTCCACCTTTCCCCAGCTGCAACTCCACCCACCCTCACCCACCACACAGGGGAACAGCCTTACAAACCACCTGCACTATCCTCCTTGCTCTTTCTCACCCCATACTCTACCTGGATTTCCTTTCCTACATTGTTTACCTGGGAAGTACCTCCTTTTAAGACTGAGTTTAAGCACCACTTCTTGTCTAAATCCTTTCCCAAAAAGCATACCCTGAAGGTAGAGCTGATACCTCCTTCCAGGCCAAATGCTGTGCACAAGTGCTCCGGGTAATATGGAGGAAAACTCTTCACTGCCTAGATAATCTACAGGTTGAGAAGCCTAAAAATTACTGAATTAAGAAGAGAGAAAGGTGAATGTGGCCAGTCAATTATTAAATCTTAAAAGGACTGAAGATTAAGAAAAGCAAACAGGATAAATGTGGGAATTCATGTTGATAATAGTTGGATATTATGTATCCATTATATTGAATATATGTATTATACATATTATTCCATCAAAATGAATGGAAAATTAAGTGAAAAAAATTAGATGGTAAAACAGATTCACTCAATTTACCAGTATATGGCTAAGTCAGGGAAATCTCTAGAAACTGTTTCTAAAGGGCAGTGGGATGAAGTACCCCTTTTCTTACTGTTATACTTAACGGCTTTAGAAGTACAGGTGAATGTTTCAATCTTTTTTAACAAGATGTTTCTTTGTACAATGGCAACATTTTCCTGGGAAGAATCCCTTAACGTCATGGCATCATATTTATTTTACAAATCATGAAGCAGATGTTAAAAAGCTTTTCGCTCCACTTGTTCGTCGTCTTTCTTCTACGTTTCCTTGTTCAAATAAGTACATAGCATGCCTGCGTTACACCATGTAGGCAAAAGTCCAGAGAAAAACAGGCTTTGGAATACCAACATTAATTCGCCAGAGGCAGAGCCCTTGGTTTTCAAATTTTTCAGTAAATGAGTCTATGAGTGAATTGTCTAGGTCCAGCCCTGCTGCCATGGCCAGGATTGTGTCCCAGTCTCCGGCCTTCCTCCAAGGACTTATTAGTCCTGAGTGTGCAAAGCAGGGATAACCCATGCAACTTGGGCAGGAGGCAGCTGCCAGCGAGGAGACTCCTGCCAGCAGCTCATCCAGGCAGGTCCTTAAGTGGGCTTAACCAAAGGGTCTCCATTTAGTCCTCTTGGCCAGGAATAGAGAATTGCCCTTTGGCCAGGCTTCCATCCTTTGGTGCCAGAGTTTGCTGTATTCTTTAATCATTGCTCATTGCTATGACCCACAAAATCATGCCTGGAAGCTGCAGGGAATTATAAGATTCCTAAAATCAGTCACTGTGTCCTGGAGCAAAGGAACTAGGCCAGACCCCATGTAAATAAGCACAAAGTACTGACTCTGTTGTAGCTAGGAGAGCACCTACTGTGGGTTATGAACATGACATAAATTATCTCCAATCCCTATGTAAAGAAACTGAAAACCGGTCAGGTTAAGTAATTGTCCCAAAAACTGAGATCTGAAGCCACGGTCCTAGTTCCCACCCTGCCATGCTGTCTCCTGCACTGCAATAGTGACCTTCCTGGCAGCCGGGGCTTTTTGCGTTATATTTTGTTCTTTGCCACAAGAAATCCAGTTGAGCCACCAAGATTACCTCTCTCCTTCTACAGAATCGAGGAGATAATGGAGGAATCCCAATTTGCACAGTAGATAAAATTACTAGACTAAACCCTTTGTTGTCAACTTGACACCCAACACACCTGAAGCCCAGGGAAATCTAGTTTGCAGAAACCACCCTAGATTCTAGAGATGCTGGACCTTTCACAGAGTTCTCTGATATGATTAGTATTGAATAAGAGATGGACTTTGGAGCCAACCAGCTCAGGTTTGAATCCTGTTCTCTACTTCCTACATGTGAATCACACAACAAGGAGCAAATAGCTCTCTCCCCACATCTATCTTCTCTTCCCACCAGGCCCTCTGCTCACATACGGACCCAGCCCCAATCTTGCTTGTTCTGATATCATTAAGGAAACTCTGCATTAACAATTGGCTCACTAATAATGCTTCCTTTCAAAATATCAGATGGGGGTGACAGGGCAAAAAACTAAAACTGGGATATTTCTTCTCCCTTAGACCAAATAAATACTAAAAAAAATTAATTTGTACCTCTGTGTGTTATCCCTCCTATTAGGTATAAGAGTAGAGGTTCCTATCAATTTGTAATAATTATAGATTTGGCTGCTGAAAGAAAGACACCAAGTAACGGCAGCCTAAATAAAAGGGAGGCATCTGTCCCTCACACCTACTATGTGCATCAACACCCAGGGAGCCATCCTCCTAGTATCTTCTTGCTCTGCCATCTTGAAGCTATCACCCTCATTCTCAAGAGGACTCAGCACCACACCCACACGTCAGGAAGCAGGCTTGAGGGAGATAGAGAAAGAAATGAATCCCTTTAAGAGCAGAAATTGTGTACATCATTTCCATTTACATCTCTTTAGTCAGAACTTAGTCAAATAGCCTCACTTAAGTGTAAGGAAGGCTGGGAAATACAGTCTTTGGTTTAGGAAAAAAAGTCACATGCCACGGTAAAAATTCTATTAAGAAAAAAAGGACAGGAGACTGGATTTGGGTGGAAGGGAGTAGAAATAGTAGCTGCACCATCCAAAGTTGCCCACACTAACTCCCATCCTATACACCATATTTTCCACCCTGCTCTCCTATGGAGACTGGTGGATTGAATTGCTGGCTCCAGTTGTTCATATATCCCTGTATCCACCCCTTTGCCATGCAACCTGGCAATTCCCCCATCTCCCTCGGAGGCATGTACCTTCCTGCCCCTTGACTTGGACTCAGCCATGTGATTTATTTTGGCTGGTATTGTGGATGTGACATGACCAAAGGTGTGAGAAGTGCTAGGGTACCAGGGTTTGCCCGCTTGCACATCTGCTTACCCTGAAGGTGGAGGCTTTCTCCTGAGTAGCTGCTGTTCCTGTGGCCTGGGCTCTAGAATGAACAAACAAGGTGCAAAGCTACCCCACCTATGACAGACCTGGGGCAAGAAGCAGGGCCAGCCCAGCTTTCAGAACCTGCCACAGAGCCACCAAGCCAAGCCCACTGAGATCAGCCAACCCACAGACCTGTGAAGATAAATGCTTCATGCTATGTATGTTCTATTGGGATTTGTGGTTATTACATAGCATTAGGGGAGCAACGCCTAACTGATAAAGGTCCTTGAGCTCTAACCTATGTGGTTTTTCTATTTACCCCTCTGGATCCCTTCAACACAGTTCTCTGAGCTTTGGGAGGTATATTTTTATGAGCTCCCTTAGCCTCTGGCTTCCAACTGGGTTGGACAATGAAAGGCATTGGCAGGAGGGAGAAAGTGAAGTAGGGATATTTATTTCCTTGTCTTCTTCTCTGAAGGTCACCAGGGATGGGTTGCATACCTCTCCCAAAGGCCACATCTCTGTCAGGTGGTCCAGCTCTCTCTCTGGGTCCAAGGGTGGAAACTTCATCGCATCCCTAGTAATGGCTAGCAGCTGTCACTAGCCCCACGATTCTGCACTATCCATCATTATTTTCTCTGAACCCTGCTTATATCTTTGTCAAGTGTGCCTTCATTTTCTCATCACTTACCCAGTTTGAGGGTGCCATCTTTTTCTAGTTGGATACTGCCTGAACCCCACCTCCACGTCCAGGGCCTTAGTTCATCCCATACCTAGCCTCTGCCCTGCCACAAAGTATGTCCTCCTCCTCTTCATGGGTCCAAATAGGCCCTCTTTCAAGGAACACTCCTCTTTCAAGATACTTCCTCCAAAGTCTCTAGGCCCCAGAGAGACCTCCCTTCCCGTTATTCCTCCAAGATCCACCACCTATACCACATCGTCAATGCTTTGTTTCATACCAAAGCACAGCAGTCTGTAAATTGTGCTCTGGGGAGCCCAGGGATTCTGTGAAGGTGCTACAGTGGTTGAAAGAAAAACAAGTGGAACTCCAGATCACTATGCAGATGGCAACATATTTATCTCATATATGAGGTTTCATTTAGGGTTCAGTTTTTTTTTAAGTTTGAAAACTTTGATGCAGTACCGTAGTCTTAAATTTTTATGCATATAGATCTTATCCAACCCAAATGAGCAAGGGGAATTTAAATATCTTCAAAATCAAAGGATTGGCAGAGGGAAGGATGGATGACTGGCTGGCTGGGTGGCTAGAT